TTATGAATACATTCAAAATTAATGGTGACTCTCAAGGAGACTCGAAATATAGAAAATAACAAAAATATTAAACGTTGAATTATTTTACAAAAAGAGACCCACAGCCGGATTTAAAAATATATAAAAACCTTTATAAAAAAAACAAAAACAGGTGGATTAATTTTGAAAAATATTTTATAGAGACATTATGTATAAGAAAATCTAGTCCCTTCAACTTTTGCAAAAATGTTTAGTTTTCGAAAAATTTACAAACTGAGTTCTGAGTTGGTGATTCATCAACTTAACTCAGTTGACAGTTTTGAGTCACACTAAGAATAACTGAATACGGGGCTTTATAATATGATGGATCTGATGTCTTTGTATCTGCCTGTGTTTTGTATACGACTAGATAGATATCATTATTATGTTGAGGCTAGTATAGTCAGTGCACTTCAGCAGTTTAGCTCTCTATTAACTGCGAGGTTTCTTTATAACCCATCTCTACGTCTTAACTGAATTATTGTTTATCACTTCATCAGATTAAGCAATAATTGACCTCAGATCTGCATACCACCCCGAACAACCTATAACCATTCTGAGATTCGATAACGCGGTGTTGGTAAGTCTGTCAGTTTTCATAAATAATTTCAGGGCTCCATCCTTTAAGTATTTTTTGATCATATCAATCTTGAGATCCCTGAGGATGTCATTCGTCCTAATGACCATGGCACCTTGAGAAGTCTTCTCAGAGCGAATAGTAGTATTTAAGGCCTTGCTAAACGCTACACATCCATAAAGAAGTGACGGTCGTATTATTTGGTTATATAACAGCATCCTGTTCTTAGCATAGAGATTTTCATTTTTGAATACTGGTTGAAGGTGATGAGGAATTTTGGCATAGCTAATTCTTTTCAGTTAAACATGTTTAAGCCATATGAATCGTTTGTCCACCGTGATATTTATTGCTTTCCTCGCAGTTTATTATAATATCATATGTGAATTATATTTTTATGTACTTAAATTTGTTTGTAATTAAAGAAAAACTGTTTTAAAACCTCTACAATGTCAGCATACAGTCTAATTGAATGAGATTTTTGTGTCCTTTAGCGATTTTAATGACCTCAAACGATTTGAAATGCCTTCACTGTACTCTAAATTTCAGTTTTTTTTTTAATAAAAATCATTGTTTTACTTACTATCTATCCAAATTCGTAATAACCTCTAACCTCATCAATAAATTCTATTTAATATCTAATTAAAGTTACAATAGAGTATAAAACAGTATAAATTATTACTAACCAAAAGCATAACTAATATAAATAAGCTTAAAATGTATATAGTATCCTTAATTGAATTACACTCATGAAGTTGCCTAACCACATGTGGTTGCTTATATGTATCCCTTTCAAGCTTTTACTAGGCTTTTAGACATCAAAGATAAAAGCATAAAATTAATTTATGCATATAAGTGAAAGCAGAGCACTTAACCGTATACTCCCACCAGCCGCCCATACTGCTCATACCACACACATACATTGCCTTAACAGCGATTTAAAGTTGCTTAACATAAAAATTAAATTGTTATTGACTGTTAAATGTAAAAACTGAATACAAGCCAAAGCAGAAATTGACAAAATCAAAATTTTTGGAGTGACTCTGCAGGTGCAGAGCAGTGAGCACTGCTCAGCCCACTTATGTTAGCAATTATCAAACTACAAATTTTACATCAAAGCATATCTACTTTTACTCTCGTTATTAATAATGTAATTAAACCAGGAATATATTTTCATTATCAATATTAGTTACATTTTGACCATCAAAGCAAATATGCAAATTAACAACACACAAAGGCGTTGCGCTACAATCAAAATGAAATCACTCACCGTTGCCTAAAATAAATCAAAATCAAAATAAAAGTTAAAATTTTAAATGGAAATGAAAATGAAATTGAAAATGAGAACGAGAACGAGAACAAAATTAAGGATGAGTATATGTAAAAGTCCTTTTTAACTTTTCCCGTAGACTAAACACAATGAAATTTACCTTTGTACTTTGATAATTTAATTATCTTAGCAAATATGTTGTTAGCCTTTTTATGTTTTTCTGTTACGGTAGGCAACACAAATATATCTGATTACATGAGTTGAGTGCAGTGCAGTGCATGAAGTGTGAATGACTGTCGATTTGTAAATTGTAAATTGTAAATTGTAAAATGTGGCAATATTGATAAAAGTGATTATTGACGCCATTTTGTTTAATTTAAATTTTCGCTAAAAATTATTTAATTTACATACAAATACATTTCTGTTAATTTACAGAGTAATATTTACACAATGTAATACACACGCCTTTACATAGTCTCCATTAAAATCAACTCAATTACACACAAGAGCACACATGCCGTACATACGAAATGT